TTTTCCAACAACAACAACAACAACAACAACAACAAACTAGTAAAACTTCAGAGTCTCTACTATTAGTCTTGTCTGTCAAGTATTAAGCAGCCAGACCCTGTAGTCTATAGACGTGATTAAGTGTCACAGGTCTGTGAGCTCTTAGTGCTTTGCTGGGTGGACAGGCACAGGGCAGGAATGTCCCACCTCACTAGTGTGAGCCAGGACCTGTTCTTGCCATAGCAGATGGCTTAGGGTTGGCCCCCCTTCTCCTAGTTTGTCCACCCTCTCTTTGTAATCCTTCCATGAGTCAAGTTTCTGGAGCAGAGCTGACTGGTGCACAGATGAATAAACTCGCCAGCCTGACCTCTATTAAGAATGTATAAGCAGTTTTCAACAGAACTGTGTGTGCGTGAGCGAGACATGGCAAGGGGATGTGCATCTTCACAGTTCAGCCATGTTTCCAGTTGCAACTCTCTACCAGAACAGGCTCAGTCAAACATGTGCTGAGCCAGCCAGTGTGCAGTACACTACAACTGCCTGTGAGAGCGAGCAGAACAGCCTTCACACATCCTATGTTTTTGAGATTCCAGATGCAGAGTTTTTGAGAACAAGCCTGCCTTGCACCAGCCAATGATCTACCTGTTTTTGAAGCCAAGAAAAACATTCCCTCACCTCCCCAACTGTAGCTTTGAAACAACCGATTTTTAGCTTGGTTGCTGCTCTGCCTCAAATTCCATTCATGGGTCTGCTGTTGGTATGTGGTGGATTTTGGGCAGGAGCCACTGGGTTTTATCTTGTACTCACCTTTTCCCCCATGTGTCCTAAGCACTGGGATCTGCATACGGCAGCCACGAAAAACATTCTGATTTGGTTGACCACATACAGCCATGACACGTGAATAAGAGGTCCAAAGATCAAGTACTGACCCACTTCTTTGAGTAGGGCTTCAGGTATGAAGGCCAGGACTTCAGGATTTCATATATGCAAATTATGTGCACTATATACCAATGAGCTACATTTTAGGAGCTTGGGAGCCACCCATGGTGGTGCCCAGGGGGACCATTTGTGGTGCAAGAGATTCAACTAGAATCAGTCACATGCAAGGTCACCTTTCTCCCTGTACTATCTCTCTGGTCCCATTTCCTTTTTTTCCTCTTGGCTTTTGAGCAACACCTAGTGGTGCTTGGGGACTGCTTCTAGCTGTGCTTGGGGGACAGCGCAGTGCAGGGGATGAGTTTGGCCAGAGCTTGCATGCAAAGAATAAGCACCAGACCTCTGAGCTGTCTTCCTAACCCACTCTTAATTCCAGTTTGTGGGCCTAATGAAGATCAGTCCCAGTTTCTGGTACTTGGTGCATTTGCTGTTTCCATACTATGTTTCTTTATATCCCACATATGAGAGACATCATTCCGTTTGTCCCTTTCCTTATTTCACTCCGCAGGATGTCCTCAAGATCCATCCATGTAATTGCAATTTGCATGTTTTCATCTTTTCTTATGGCCAAGTAGTATTCTATATATATATATATATATATATATATATATATATATATATATATACAGTAGTTTCTCTAGCCAGTCATCTGTTCTTGGATACTCAGGTTGTTTTTAGATTTTGGCTATCGTGAATGGAGTTGCAATGAGCATAGGGGTGCAAATATCTTCAGATTTGGGGGTTTGGGCATTTGGAGCACGTCTAAAAGTGGGAAATGGAATTGCAAAGTCATATGAAAATTTTATTTTTGCTCTTTTGGGAAACACCCGGTCTCATAACCTCAGGGGTTATTCCTGGCTCTGCACTCAGGAACTACTCCTGGTGGTGCTTGGGGAACCATATGGGATGCCAGGGATTGAACCTGGGTCAATTGCATGCAAGGCAAATGTCCTCTCTGCTGTACTATGGCTCTGGTCCGAAAACTCAGCTCATAGTTTTTGTTTTGATTTACATCTCTCTAATGATTAATGATGCAGTGCAGTATACCTATTAGCCATCTGCATGTCTTCTTTGGCAAAGTTTCTGTTCACATCTTCCCAATTTTTGATGGGGTTGGTTATTTTTTTCTCGTTAACCTTCACAAGTGCTTTATATATTTTGGATTATAAACTTTTTTTAGATGAGTGATGGGCAAATCTTCTCTCCCCAACTGTGAAGTGCTTTTATTCTGGTCATTGTTTCTTTTGTTGTGCAAACATTTCATTTACTTAATCCCATTTGCTTATCTTTGCTTCATTTGCTTGGCCAACCCACATCCTTAATGTCTCCGAATTCATGAATTCAAGAAATGTTTCCTCAATATAATTTATGGATTTAGATCTGGTATCAAAGTCTTTAGCATTTTGAATTGACTTTTGTTCATGGTATAAGATAGAGGTCAGAGCGCCTTACCAGTTTGCCCAGGAAAACTTGTAAAGAGACTTTCCTTGATTGATTTCATACTCTTAGCTCCTTTGTCAAAGATTAGCTGATCAAGTACCTGAGTATCTGTCTCTAGAGTCTTAATTTTATTCCATTGTCTGAGAGTCTGCCCTTATTCCACTACCACACTTCATTGATTACGTTTTATTGTATAATTTTAAGTTGCAAAAAGAAAATCCATCTTGTTTCCTAGGACTGCTTTAGCTATTTGGGGAAGATGGGGTGGGAAGTTATCACTCCATTTAAATTATAGTAACATTTGGTCTATATCTCTTAAAATGTAATGAGTATTTTTACATGAATTGCTTTGAATCTGGTGCTTTGGAAAGTATTGTCATTTTGACACTATTAATCCTTCCAATCCATGAGTAAGAAATGTTCCAATTTTCATTGTCTTCTTTTTATCGTTTTGTCTCTCACCTTTGAGGTACAATTGTAAATGGGATTTTTAAAGTTTGTTTTTAGCATATAGGAATTTCATGAATTTGTGATTTTGTAGCCTGACACATTACTGTTCCTAAACAATTTTTCTTTTATAGTCTTTAGTGTTTTCTGAGTGTAGTATTGTGTCATCTGCAAATAGTGATAGTGTGACTTCCAGTCTGGATGCCCTTAATATTTTTCTTGGCTAATTGCTATGGCAATGATTTCCTATACTATATTGAGTAACAGTGGTCGAACAGACAAACTTGGATCTATTGTTCCCCTTGAACTTAGTCCAGTTAGCTGTGTTCTGTTCATTTGAGACTTTTTCCCCAGCTTACTGCTATTTTTCTAGAAGTTTCCTACATCACATCTTGGAGTCCCCTGATTGCTTTCCTCAGCTGCTGTAACTGCTGTGAAACCTTCCACTGTTTTTTGCTTTTTAAAATTTCTCCTACCAAACTTTGCAGTTGTGTCCCTTATGGTGGTTTCTCATTCCCACTGTTATACTTTCTTTTGCTTTCCTGGTTACCTACACTATCATTTCTGAGCTCTTTAAGAGTCCTCTGCAGTTTTCCTAAGGTCCTGTCTGAGTTCTCCACCCTTCCAGCTTTCCTCTTCAGGTTTGTGGGTTTTCTACAAGACTCCTCCATTGTGTCTGGTGTGGTCTCGGGGTGAATGTCTGTAGTGCTATAGTGCCTCCTGTTCCTCGACCCAAAGGGAGGTATCGAAGGGATTCAGACAAGCATTGCTCTGTCTTCCCGGGCTGGACCTATGCAGCAAACTCTTGCTGTTTTGGGTTGTTTTGAATTCCAGGTGTAGATTACAGGGCTACTTGAAACATCAGCAGCCCTGCCTATCCACTGGTTGTAATTTAGGACTCTGGTTTCTTGCTACCATTATAGCCTTGTGAGTTTTTACTGTGGGATAGGTTGATAAAGCTCGGAGTGAGTTACTAGAAGCATGAATCCCAGGGGCAGCTAGGGATACATCTGAGCCTGTGGTCCCGCTATAGGTCCTAGTGTGTGCCCACTGAGATGTGAGCAGAGCTATCACGGGGCAAGGGGGTTCTTGAGAACCTAAGAAATGATTCAGCCTGCAGGCAGACATGTGGTCCTGCCAGATGAAGCCCACCAGAAGAGGCACCATCTGAGAATTCAGCAGCCAGGGGAGGTGGAGCAGGAAGGAGAGGCAGTGGCAGACTGCAAGCTGGGTGGGGGACTGGGGTGTGGCAGGGAAAGGAAGGAGAGGAAAGCGGTGCTCCCAGATGGTGAGGATGGGAGAAGGGAGGGTGTGCTCAAGGGACCGGGAAAGTACATGTCTTGCATGCAGGAGACTCAGTTCTGTCCTCAGCAATACGCCACACAAGACCCAAACAACCTCACCCCCCTCCCCATAACCACAAATCATCTCGACAGTATTTTGAGCTTCCCAATGATCTTCATTCCCTTTTGCTCCCAGCCCCAGGAAGCCACTGCCTGCCTCGTTACGAACCTTACTCAGTTCCTTGTGTGACTGGAACCCTTGCTATTTGTGACTTCTTTCATTTCATCCATGTCACAGAAAATCTGGTTTTTTTTTTGGGGGGGGGGGGGGGCGGGGGTAGGGGACATCTTTGGACCAAGCCCTGGAGGTTCAGGAGCTCCTTCTGGCTCTGTGCTCTGGGAACCATACTCAGCTTGTCTAGCTCTCTCCAGCTCCAGAAAAATCCTTTTATTTTAAATTGGGGAAAGGCTCCCCAGTAGTGCTCAGGAACCCGAGAGGTTACTCCTGCTGTAAAGATATGGCCGTATGTGTCAGTGCAGTGCCTGGATCCCAACCAGGAATTCTGGGTGGGAACAATGTGGTACCAGGAACTGAATTCAGGCTCCTGAGCACGTAAGGCACCAGCACTGGCTCTTTGGCCCCATTTTCCTGGCCTAGAAAACCACCTTTTGGCCACTGAGAAAAATGGTGACTTCTTCTGTGGTTTGGCTTTAAATTTTTATTGGTAAATATCCAGAAGTGGATTAATGATCATACTGAGGTTCTATGTTTGACTTTTGAGAAACTGATAAATGTTTTCACAGTAGAGGTGACAGCACTTTTCTTATCTAAAGCATTTAAAAAACTGAGATATGGAGGGTCTGATGAATGTGGGTCTACAATTTTAAATGCACAAATAAATGTGGCGACTCAACTGTCATTCATAAATACAAAATTTTATTTGTACTTCATTAGTGTAGAAAGACCACAATGCTTTTCATATCACAACACTCGACACGCTGAGTTATTCAAATACATCATTACCTTTACCTCAACTAAACAAAACAGTGCAGTTTAATAAAAGATATACCAAAGAGGGTTCACAAATTCATAGAGAGAGAGAGAGGGGAGGAAAAAAGAAAAAGAAAAAATAAAAGAGGAACACAGCCTATGCTTATAGGAATAAGCTTCACCATATGGGGAGAAATTTTTTATCATTAAAAAGGTATAGAATGTTTAAGCAGATACATTTATGTTCTTTGATATAGTAAATGTAAAATTCCTTTAAACAGGATTTGTTTAGGACAGCAGCGTTGTTTCAAAATCTTGTATAATTTCAAAAACATTTCTTCATTGAATCTTTGTAGCTCTTAAAAGCTTAGGATCCGTGTCCACTAGGAAACAGTAAGAGAGATTCTGCGGCCGCAGGACCAAGTCAAATCCTCCCCTCTAAGTAGTGACATTCTACCATTACATAACAATAAATAACCTTCAATGCCGGCCATGGACAGAGCTTTGCTTTGCGGAAGAAACACTCTATTATTTCAAAGACGCTACAGCTGAGGAAAATGTCTTATAAAGAAAAAGCACTTAAGGTAACTTTTTTCCCCCCAAAAGTCTTTTGTTTTTACAAATTTTCCTTAAAACAGTAAGCAAAGCACCACATCCTTTCTTATTAGAATATTCTCTGTCCTCATAATATAATTACCAAGGACAATAATACTTATTTCAAGAAAACATTATACTTTTCATTTCTCCCATATCCAATCTTCATATTAGAAGTACTATATGATTCCCAGTGCATGTACACTATACACTGGGACAATGAAAAATAATTTGGAGGGAATATGTGATTTACAACCAAAACTTACCCAGGATTGCATAATGGCATATTTACAAGTTAGTGTATAGCTCTGACTTGGATTACAAAGTGCGAAAGGAAATTGTCAAAACGATTGTAGTGCAGAATAGAACACTTTCCCCTTCCAGGATATTTCCACTTTGTCTCTCCGAAGTAGCAAATCAACAGCATCGGACATGTGGTCTCGGTGGAGGCAGTTCTGGTGGGATCTCAGGTTCTGGTTGCAAGGAGAGGATGCTATTGGACAGCTCAGTCCTTAAAATATCCAGAGGCATCTAAGATGAACAGGAGAAAATCTGCACGTAAATCTTTGGACACGTGTGTTAAATGCTTTGTAAATTGTGCAATTATTTAAGCTAGGTTTCAGAGCGATTTGTATCCCCTGATGAGATGGACATGAAAATTGCCCAGCCAACACCAGTGTGCTGCAAAAGTGATAAATAAACATGCATTTTCATAGAGTTCAGTAAAATTAAAATTCAATGCAGCAATAAATAAAAACAAAAACGGCTCTGCTATTTGTTTTCTCCCCCTCTTTTTTGATTTTTGGGTCATACCTAGTGGTGCTCAGAGGTTACTCCTGGCACATGCTTTTTAGTTTGGGGTCATACCTGATAGTGCTTGGAGGTTACTCTACTCCTAGCCCTGTGCCTGGGGGTTGCTCCTGACAATGCGCTGGGAACATGGAGTGCTGGTGATCAAACCCAGGCCTCTCACACGCACTGCATGAGCTCCAAGAATGGCACATTTAGAGTGTCCCCACTCATCTTAGAACAGTGGCGGCCATCAGCTCTCAGGGCACTGGAAACCCCGCAAGGAAGAGCTGGGGCCTAGGGCTTCACTGGGCTCGTGACTCCCCTATCTAAATTAGACTCCCAACCAAAACCAATAATGAAAACAACAGATTTCAAATGAAATATTTTCTTAATCATTTACTTTTTTTTTTTTTTTACCTTTTTTAGAATGTCATCAACAAGCTTCAGAAAAATTTCATCCACATTAAAGTTATCCTTGGCACTGGCTTCACAGAACCGCATCCCAGTTATCTGTTGTGCAAACTGGAGGGGGAAAAAAAATGAGCTTTCTTCTTCCTGTGTGGCTGCATCTCAGTCCAGGGTCACCTCACAGGAGAGGGTCTGAGGGCTTGTAAGCCCCAAGTGTGCGCAAATGTCAAGTTCTCAATTGTAGAAAATACCCACATTTTCCAGAAATCATAAAACAAAACCCCAAAGGGGAACATCAAGATCAAGAACTCAAATTACTTGCCCAAGTGTTAAAATTAACATGCGATATTTAAAATGCATTGAGGAATCTCCAAATAATGAACATTAGAGAAAGAGAAAATCAAAAATAAAATCTTACAATGAAAAATAGTTTACATAAAATGTCGGGTTAGATCTATTCCACCACAGTGGGCAAGATGCTTCCTGGGCTGGGATAGATAGGGAGGGGAGGCCTTGGGGGCATTTCCTGTTGGTTCCTTAAAGAAAGAGGATTTCTTTACCTCCAGGGGATATGAATGACTTTTTCTCCTCCTTGAAAAGGGAACAGTGGCCAATTCTGCCTAGGAGTCTCTGAATTAGGTAATAATGCAGTGTATGTTATGTTCCCCAGCCCAGTTTTCAGAATAAATTTGAACTAGGAAGTTAAAGAAAAGCCAACAAAAGAGAATGATGTGACCGATGACCATGTGGTTATCTCCTAAGATTCTAAAATAAGATGTCTACTGAGTGTTCCTCACTGAAACACGGGGCCCGCACTGTGCCTTCTTGGGCCCTTACCTTCTCTCCTTGCTGTCTGCTGATTTCTCTGTCAGTTTCACAATCCAACTTATTTCCAACTAAGAGAAGTTCTGCATCTTCTGAGGCATACTGTGGAATTTCAAAAGAAGCTGCATTTCAAAAATGGGCATCATCACAAAGAAGTATAAGGCCTAACTGGCACTTCACTGGTGTGTTCCTTCACTCCACAATCTCAGAGTAGAACTCAAATGGTATACAAGAAGTTCTGTAGGCTGACAGCATTTTATAAAGCTCCCCGGTAATTATGGCATCAGCAACCACAGCTTTGGACTATAACCAGTAAGAACTCAGAACATGTCCTAATGAAATGGTTCAAAATACGGGCAAAGTTCTCTATCAAGATGATGGGCAACCAAAAACAAACCCTTAAAAGTTGAACAAAAGATAAGAATGACGTGATACAAGGTAGAAAAAGGAACATACAGAAAAGATGAAGTCATGAAATTTACATACAAGTGGTACTACATGGAAAGTATCATGCTAAGCGAAATGAGTCAGAAAGAGGGGGATAGGCATAAAAAGATTGCATTCATCTGGGGGACATAAAGTAACAAAATAGGAGATTAATACCCAAGAATAGCCAAGATCAGTACCAGGAGAATTACTCCATGGCATAGAGACCAGCCGGGCATTCTAGGGGAAAGGGCAGCTCAGATAGAGAAGGGAACACCAAATAAAGGGTGTTTGGAGGATCCTCCCAGGAGGGGAGATGCAGGTTGAAAGTAGACTATGGACTGAACATGATTGCCACTCAATGCCTCTTTTGCAGACCACAACACCCAAAAGGAGAGAGAAAACAAAAGGGAATACCCTGCCACAGAGGCAGGGTGAGATGGGAGGGATGGGGGTGGGAGGGATATTATCCATGGTGGTGGAAAATGGGCATTGGTGGAGGGATGGGTATTTGATCATGGTATGACCGAAAAATTGACTGTGGGGTTTCTCTTGATTTAAATATATATTACATACGGTATGATATATGGTAACAACATTTCAATTCTATGAACAGGAAAAAAGTTAGGCTACAAAGCCTTTTATCTATAGAGCATAAGAGGTTCCTCCAAAAACTATTAAAAGTCAGTGGGGCAGGGAGAGAACTGCAAGAGCTGGGCACACTCTGGCACTTGGGGAGACTGTGTGATCCCCAGAACTGCGCCAGGAGCAACCCGAGGCGGCCCCCAATCACTGCCCTTGTGCCCCCAACCGAGATGTGAGCACGCACCCACACAACTGCATGCGTTCCTCAGCACTCCTGCTCCAGCCTCCAACTGTGCTCCACTCACCTTGGTCCTTCCTAGAGGCCCAGACCCCAAGCTCCTGACTTACACCTGCCCCCCCTCCCCCCAACCACCTCCGGCTCTAACTGTGACACAGACAAGAAGCACTGATGGCATGTGTGAGCTCTTGGGCGACTGCTGGTGGGACCCCTCAGCAGCCACAGAGCCAGCGCTGACCCACTTGGGGAACAGGCCAGGGCATGTGGGCAAAGGAGCACAAACAGTACTCTCAGGATACAGTGCTCTCAGGGCATGGGGAGGAAAGAGCGGTGCCCTCCTCAGGACACAGTGCTCAGGCTGCAGGGAGGATCAGGAAGTGCCCTTCTCAGGACACAGTGCTCAGGGCACGAGGAGGGAGGAGCACACTCTCCTAAGGACACAATGCTCAGGGCACAGGGAGGAAGGTGCCCGCCCTCCTCAGGACACAGGGCTTCAGGAGGCACTTCAGGCCCAACAGCGCTTCAGGGTGGGGCTCCCTGCAGGGAGTTGCAGTTACAGCCAGGCTCTGAGGAGGCAGCTAGCAGTGAGATTGCTCTGCCCGCGTTCACGTAGGAGCGAAGTCTTAGGGCTTCAGGATGGAGGAAATCAGGGTCTGGTGAAAGGTTGAGGGTGCGAGCAGATGTTCTTCCTCAGGCTGGACATTTAACATGGATGCGCCTGGCCTCTAAGAGTCTATTATTTGGGGGGCTCCATTGTAGAGCTGCTCCCGCACAGCTTGGTTCCTGGCAGTGTTGGGGGTGAGGGTGGGAGATGACCATGAGATATCGGGGACGGAACTCAAATCCCATGCGCTCCCACCCTCTGAGTCATCTCCTGGGCTTCCCCGGAACAGTTCAGAGATCCTCACTGAAAACACACTCATTAAACTGACAGTCCAAACTTAAAATTGGATTTTAGATACGACTTGATGTCAACAGTTCAGGGTACCAGAAAAAAAATTCCCTCATCTATCATACTGGGACAAGATCAATCTTCTGGGAATGTTGTAATAGGGACCAAAGGGCATTTCGTACAGAAAAGCATGTGCCATGAAGTGTGAGTGATACCTCCCTTCCCTTCCTCCCATTTTCTCTGGTCTGGTGATCAAATCCTAGGCCTCCCAAGTGCCAGCGTGCACTCCACCCAGCCACACCCCCAGTCCTCCCACAACTGAAAGAAAAAGAGGAAACTTACTTTATCAATCATCTTCATCCATTTTGGCAAATCATCAAACGTCTCTTTCTTGGTGATATCATATACTAGTATGATCCCCTTGGCACTTCTGTAATAAGCTGAGGTAATGCTGTTGAATCTCTCCTGACCTGCAGTGTCCCTAAGAGACAGCAGCAAAACATAGGTTTCCAAACCACCATCAGAGCAAGCAGTTCTACGGCAATGTATATCGGCACTGAGACATGCTCTTCCTGCCTACTTCCTGTCGCTCATCGAATAGCTCTGTTGAGCTGGTTACATCAAAATGTCTTTTGAATCACGTTTTGTTTATCTGCTTTGGATCATCCCTAACAGTGTTCAGGGGCTATTCCCAACTCGATGCTCAGGGGGATCATTTGATATCAAGGATGGAACCGCCTCCTGTGTGCAAACCATGCCCACCACCCACCAGAATTCTGAACTTCTTTCCTGGCCCTAGGTTTTTTTTGTTTTGTTTTAAAAAATGGCAAGAAGACAGTCATAATAAAAGGGTGGAAAGGAAAGTGGCTTCTACACTAATCTATCTAAAGATATTAAAAATTCAGTAAACAGCAGAATCTTCACTTTACTTCAAATAAAATGCTGCCCTGATATGAAAAGTCATGCAGCAATTATCATTAGGCATAAAAGTAGTATCTTATTTCTTTACCCATCTCCAGGGCACTCGTGTACGCTACCATTAGCTTCATGTCTTTTTCCTAGCGTAAGATATTAGTTAGAAGTCTGAGGTAATCTGAGGTTACAAATCACAGAAGCACACCTGACCACATCCCATTAGCTGCTGCTTATGCCCCAATGTCTGACACGCCAACAGGAAGTGAATGGAGGAATGGAATGAACACAGCAACATTCAGGGAATCGGAGGATGTTACTGAGTCCTATCCTTGCTGGCTTTGTGAGCCTGGCGCATCGAGAACCCCGTGCGACATTCCCGAGAGCACTGCTGCTGACCCACCAGGAGAGGCGGCTGGGCTGTGGCAGGCAGCGGGTCACCGGGATACCACTCTCGTTGCTCCAGACAACTGTCTACACTACACTGGGCTTAGTGTCCTAACATCAAGTTAAAGTCCCCGGTGAGTGGTGAGTAAACCCAAGGTGAACTAAGTGAAGCCCTTTAGCCCACATAAGTAGCACCTGACTATGCTGACAAGTGCACCCCCCCAGGGGCTGACTGGGTTCCCCAGAACAGCCTTTGGTGAAGGTGCTGTAACTTCTGGCTTCATTCAGAGAGAACTAGCTGCCAAACTAGATTCCCTTAGTGATGCATTATTGTGATAAACAAAACAAAGCCTGCACGAGTCCAGCTCGCACATACGTTTTGGGTCCAGAGCGCCAGAGATGCCCTTGCAGTCTCCCCTCAAAGGTCGAGGAAGGTGAGGTCACCAGCAGCCTGGCTCGGGGGCCTCGATAAACCTGCCTCAGCAGATGGGGAACTGTGGCAATGGGGAAGGCACCAGCCTTTGATCTTTTGAAACAAAAATAGATTGAAGGGGAATTCTTCAGGATTTCTAAAAACAAAACTTCACCAACACCTCTTGTTAGTCAAGAGGAACTGATTCAGAAATATATATACAGAGAGCCACTAACAAAAGGATTTCTGAAATCCCAGGCACTTAATGGGTCATAAATTAAAGATGAAGTTCTTAAATACACATAGGAATATCTGAAGTACAAAGCTGAGAATAATTATTTTGAGGGGGCCCAGGTGATTTTGGAATCCACTTGGAAGTGCCTGGGCATCTTCTCCCTGCTCTGTGCTCCAGGCCCAGTCCTGGGGACACTATGGTCCAGGAAGTGCCAGAAATCAGGGCCAGCCACATGCAAGGTAGGTGTCCGACGCCTGCTCTCTTTCTCTGGCTGTTATTCTTTTCTTCTGACCACAGATAAACAGGAAACTGAGATTTGCAACAATGATATAAATTGTGTCAAGGGCTAGACAGTACACCCAGTAGGGCGCTTGCCTGGCATGCAGCCAATCTGGGTTTGATGAGTCCCCCATCTCTGAGCGCCACTAAGTATAGCCCCCAAAACTAAACCAAAAAAAGTGACAATGACATCTAAAACTTTGGATATTTTAAATGTTTAGAAATCTCTGGTAACTATTTTCTTAGATTGGCTACATCCAGAAATCATCAAAAGGAAAGTGATTTCTTCTAACAAGACGTTTCCATAAAAACAGACTGGCACTGTTTCCATCAGAATGACAGTCTACTAAGTCAGAACAGAACTATTATTAGCAGGGCACAGCCCACTGAGTTTGACAAGCTTGTTCCAACACTGCTTCCTTCTCTGCCATGGACTGGTGACAGAATAAAATTTAACAGCAGAGTGCAACAGCAACAATGGCAAAAGGACTGACCCTAAGTCCAAAACAAAACACATACTGGGACAGAAGTGATAGTACAGCAGGAAGGGTGTTTGCCTTCCACACAGCTGACCTGGGTTTGATCCCTCAGCATCTCATAACCCATGAGCACCTGTCACTGTCACTGTCCTCCTGTTATTCATCGATTTGCTCAAGCAGGTCCAGTAACGTCTCCATTGTGACAATCGTTACTGTGTTTGGCATATTGAATACGTCACGGATAGCTTGCCAGGCTTTACTTTTCGGGCGAGATATTCTTGGTAGCTTGCCGGGCTCTCCACGAGGGGCGGAGGAATTGAACTCGGGTCGGCCATGTTGACCGCTTGCAAGGCAAACGCCCTACCCGCTGTGCTATCACTCCAGCCCTCCATGAGCACCACCAGGAGTAATTCCTGAATGCAGAGCCTGGAGTAACCCTTGGGCATCGCTGGGTGTGACCCAAAAAGCCAAAAAGTAAACCTAAGTAAATTTAAAAACAAATAAACAAAAAAAAATCCCCCAAAACAAGCCACATGCAACCTTCAATAGCGAAGACTGACTCCAATACATCCCCAATCTGCATACTGGAGAGCAAAGTGGGGGAAAAAAGCATTTTAACACTTTAAGTCAAATACTTCAGAAGGAAAAATTTTACTTTGGAGAGCTGAAGTGATAGTATAGCAGGTAGGGTGTCTGTTTTGCGTGTAGCTGACCCAGGTTTGATCCCTGGGATGGCATAAGGTTCCCCTGAGCACTGCCAGGAGTGATCCCTGGACAAAGTAAGCCCTGAGTACCACTGGGTATGGCCCCAAACTCAAAATTAAACTATGTGATTAACAAGCAGCTTTCTGTGGTGTATTATTTACTACCAAAAAAACCTTTAGGAAAAGACAAGTCTGATTTTAACTAAGTCGCCGGATATTTTATGCAACAGTCCTTAGAATGAAATGCAGTGAATCTCAATTCTGCTACTCTCGGTTACAGTCTTCACTAATGCTGTGCAAGTTTTAAAGATCTGTGACCAAGCCAGGCTCCTCAGAGTCCAGAAGCAGTCCAAGGAGAGGCATTTGGGGGAGGTACTGACATGATTCTGGAACTGTGCTGGCAGTTTCCCGCCGGGGAGGGGCTGGAGCGGGGGTGGGGGTGGGGAGTGAGTGTGGGTGCTTCAGAGGGTAGAGCCACTTGCATCAGCTCCAACAGCACTGCAATGAGATTTGGAAGCATCGACTGTCTCCTGCAGCCTTAGCCAGCAGAGCTACAGAGAGGCCCGGAAGGGGCATCTGGACACACTCTGAAAGTCAGGCATGACCATAGCCTGGGAGGCACACTGAATTACTAACACTGACATGTCTTTCCCAGGCCACAATGCGTCACTACCTAATGATGGCTGTGCTCCTTTTGCAAGGCCATCTCTTCATCAGGAAGGATCTCCTTCAGAGGTGCGAGCCACAGGGGGTGTCATACCTGGAGTTCTTTTAAAGTTGGTCTTTCTCTTAAAGAACTTATAATTAGGGGCCAGAGCAACAGGACAGCAGGGATTTGCCTTGCAAGTGGCTGACCCGGGTTTGATCCCCGGCATCCCGTGTGGTCCCCTGAGCACCATCAAGAATAACGCCTGAGCATCACTAGGTGTGACACAAAAAGCAAAACAAACAAAAACCACCAATTTATAACTAGACAGTTTCTATGAAAGCTACTTTGGACCACTTTTGGAGTTAAAAAAATTTGGCAACAATGTGCAAGGCTGCTGCTTTCCATTCATGCGTCTATAGAACAAGAAATAACCATTTTCCATTATTAAGTATCGAGGAGAGATATTATTTTATAACCAAGCCCCAAACCCAAACCCAAACCACAAACAGTAAACACAAAAGAACACAGAAGTCCTTACAGTGGGTTAGGGAGAGTGACAGGTGACTAGGTGCAGACATTACCTCAGAGACCTCCCGGAGGAAAGCAATGTTGACTCAGCAGCAGCTGTGACCCAGCCAGGGACACGGATGGAGAATGAAGGCATGGCACTAACACTCAAGCATTAGGTGACCGGTGACGCCACAGATGAGGCAGCGATTAGCGCGGATGAAAGCACATACACACACACGGTGGACACACACTCAGAGCTGAGGTGACCTGCCGAGAGGAGTTAGTAAGCTGAGTATGCTGCAGACGTGGGGACAAAAACCAAACAGGGTTCTCCGAACACCTCACCTTGGCCTTGGCGAAACCACCACCAGAACACACTACCCCCCACCCCCCAACAGATGAACGTCGCAGTGTCGCTGCCGTGGGAGCTGCCTCAGTCCTGACTGGGAGGTGACAAAGGGGCAGCTGGGTGGCTGCGGGCACCAGCGGCCCAGCAGGAGGAAGCACACATCCCGCAGCTGCTCTGAATGCCTGTAGGCAGTGAGCCTGGAAGCAGGCAGGGCAGGATCTGGATGGGAATGCGCTGCAGTTACTCTGACTGCCATCGAATAGCTGAAAGCACAGCGCGAGCTTCTAAGTCGTCATTTCAGGGGTGGCAGCCAGGATTTAAGTCAAATGAGTTGGAAAACAAGCATACAAAGAAGGGTTCAAACGTGGCCTCCTTAAAGGAAACACTTCCCACTACTCGTGGTGTACAAATGCAGTGGGGAATAAAACGGGTCCCCAAATTCTTTCTTGCAGAAAACACTGTTCATTTTTTTTCCTTTAATGAGCAAATGAAAAGTAGGACAAACCAGCTCCAAGTTAATTTCATTAGACAAGCATATGGATTGTTAGCACAGAGCAATTCGTGGGGGAGAGCTAGGTGTTCCAACTTACCAGATCTGTAATCTAATTTTCTTTCCTCGGAGCTCAACAGTTTTTATTTTAAAATCAACACCTGTAAATAAAAGGAATGAAGATGAAGCAGAGAACAAAGACGCAATTATGTCACAAGACAAAAAACATCTTTCTTATACACGATAGTACTGGCAGAAACATGAGGAACTGCTACCCCCTGTTCTCAAAGGGAAAACCGGAGCACAGTCATATCTGAGACTAGTCACGTGTGCTTCAGCTTGATAAAATGCTGCTTCCACATATAACTCCAGCATTTGTTATTAAAGATATAATCACTACTTGTAAGTTTAGCATAGAAAGTATTTTACAAATATTTGTATCTGATAAATTTCCTAAGAAATGACTTTTTTACAAATTTATCTTATTTTTTAAAACTTTTTACTTGAATCACTATGAGAGAAACCATTACAAAGCTGTGCATGGTTGGATTTCAGGCATACAGTGATCCAAGACCCATCCCTCAACCAGTGTACACTTCCCAGCACTAGAGTCCCCAGGTGCCCTCCCATCACCCCCACCCTCCGCCCCTTCCTTCCTCCCTCTTTCCCCTCCCTATTCCCCTCCCCCCTTTGGGCACTGTGGTTTGCAATATTGATACTGAAAGGCTATCAAGAACATCGTTTACCTAATTTTAAACCTCAAATCTTCTCCAGCGTGATCATTCCCAGCTATTATTGTCATACCGGTCTCTTCTCTATCTTACCTCAGTCACACACACATACACACTTGTGGTTAGTTTCAACTAGTCCTCCTACCTCTGTTTTCCTTGGCCATGGATATTATTATTCTACTATATAACAAATGACTTTAAATATAAGAATGCAATCATGAGAAAATTTCCTGAACAAAAATATCATCTTGGTTTTAAACAGCCTTAGTCAGTTTCCCGGGGCTCTTTGGTTTTTTTGCTATTGTTGTCCTTTATTTAGGGGCCACACCTGGCTCAGTGCTCCCTTAGTGCTGGGGGCAGGTGGCTGTGGGGTTCAGTCAGGCCTCCCAACTGCAAAGCACACCCCCTGCCTGAGCCATCTCTCAGCCCTCAACAATGCAAGACTCAATTTAGACTTATTACGTTTTTGGCATCCACAAAGTAAGCAGCCAACTATAAATAATCTTTTTATTATACAGCCAATACTGTGGATAAGTACTTTTATTCAAAAACAAACATACCTGATTTAAATGTATTCATCTTGCTATTAATATTAAATCATGTAGCAATTTGTCCTTTTTGAATCCTTGATGCTTCAGATAACTCTTATCTGTTTTGTTTTTTTTTGGGGGGTCACACCCCGCTACACCAAGGGATGCACAGGAGCCCATACATGGGTACCAGGATGCAACTGTTAGATGCCTGCAAGGTAAGCAAACTCCTTACCTGCCATCCTCTCTCTCCAGCCCTCAGATACATTTCTTAATCCAAATTTTCTTCAGTCTACTCACTATGATTCTAAAACAAAACTTAAGGGTCTGGAAGTTCAGCAGGCAGGGCTCCTACCTTGCATGCAGCTGAGCCAGATTTGATCCCCAGCACCCCATGTGGTCCCCAAGCACGGACAAGAGTAACTGTTGAGTGTAGAGCTAGGAATAAGCCTGAGCATTGCTGGGCATGGTCCCCAAGTTAACGCAACAAACAACTTACTTCCAAACTAATTTTTCACACACTTTTCACCAAAGTGAAATAAACCAAAGGGCTGCTGCCTAGATCCAGAAGCTGATGGTGACTGCCAACAGCCCAGGGCTCCCTGGTGTGCCTGCACCGGGCCCAGGTGTGGACATGCAGAGGACTCAGGCACCCACTCCTGGGCCTGCAGTCAGATGCTGAGCTGGAGGTGAGGTGACAGACATACAGCCACCCTCTATGAATAGCAGGACACACATCTGTGCAGCAGTGGCAGGCACGGAGAAGCAACCAGGAAACAGAGTGGACAGAAGTCCATGGCAATTCGGTTCTGCACCTCTCACCCTGGACAATACTTCAGACGCCACCCAGCCTGTGCTGATGGATTCAATTTCACTTTCAGTTCTGTGACCGATTTGCTTTTAGAAGTCAGATGACAGCTTGGAAACAGGAAGCTGGTTTGTGCACCAGCAAAACCCTTGAGTTCCCGAATGACTCAACTGAAGGACAACAACAAGGCTAAAGCCAGAGCCTCCAAAGCACAGTCCAGAGATAATGGCTTTGTTTAGAATCTTAAAATCACAGCTTAGAGACAAAAACAAACACCTTTCCCCCCTCAAAGAAATCCTGTTTTTCAGCCATCAGCATGAAGTTAAGGACCTACCACATTACTCCGTGATGACAATTTATAAATGAAAGTCCTGTTTTGTCATCACTCTATATTCTATTTCACTTTTGTTTTGAGGATCTCGTTTATTAGCTTTTGCTGATGGCTGGTGCCGCCTTCCAAAGGCTGAGCACATGCTCTGCGTGCAGGAGGTCTGTGCTGGGTCCCCGCCACAACAAGGTCTCCCAAGAACCACAGGAGCCACCCCCAAACACCAAGTTGGAAGTAGTCCTGAGCACTGCTGGTTCTGGCCCAAAGAGCAAACCCCAAAAACCTCTCTGGCCCAAACAGTTTTGGTCAAGGAAGCTGTTAACTTTTGCAAAACTTGTCCCCAGGGGCCGTTAGTTTACTGAAATGAACTGGCTAATGTTTCTCTTCTAAGGTGTGTTTCAAGTCAATTCAAAGAACCCCTAAAAAAAAAAAAAGCAAGTAAATTTTGCTTCGATTAGTTGGCACTCTCCATGACAGAAACTGTTCTGAGCTGGAACAGGCCAGTTACTATTCCTCCCAATTTCCTCAACTTAGTAATTCTACATAGGACTATTTTTATAACCACAAAGTTTAATGAACAAAAAAGAAAGGTCACTGGTATTCCAAGTCAGGAAATATCACCAGGTGACTATAAAAAATAGTAATATTAGGGAAACAAAATAAAGATGAGACACAACTTAAAAATTAAGAACCTGGGCCAGAGAGATATACAGCATTTGCCTTGTAAATGACCATCCCAGGTTCAATTCCTGGCATCCCAAATGGTCTGCTGAACACCCACCAAGTATAATTCCTGAGCTAAGAGGTAGGAATAACCACTGAGCGATGCTGAGTGTGTCTCTCCCTCCACCCCCCGCCAAAAAAAAAAAAATAAAAAACCTGCAACAAAAATAATAATAAAGAACTGGGATCTGTGTAGCCAAGTCAAGATAAGTTTCAACTTTGCAACTGTATACCCCAAGTGATTCAATTAAAAAAAAAAGAAGAAAGACACATTGCAGAGGCCATAAATAAATAATTAAAATAAAATAAAATAGCTGAGGGGCTGGAGAATGAGTCTCAGCCATAGAGCACTCAATTTTCATGTGTGAGAACCTGAGTTCAATCACTGGCACCAAATAATAATAATCAAAAGTCCTCTAAAGTGACAGTGTGCTTCAACATATCTAATGATCACTATGTAGTTTGAAACTATTGAAAAGTCACATCATGACTTTGGAAACATATGGTCATCAAAACATATGACAGCATTTCTAAAAACCTTCTTACACCAAGTAACACCTCAATCTGGGAACAAATATAATTCAGTGGTACAGCACAGTGGTAGGGCGTTTGCCTTGTGCGCAGCCAGCCCAGCGAGCCGGGCTCGATTCCCCCACCCCTCTCAGAGAGTACCGAGAGTATCTTGCCCGCACAGCAAAGCCTGGCAAGCTACCCATGATGTATTCAATATGCCAAACACAGTAACTCCAAGTCTCAAAATGGAGACACTACTGGGCCTGCTCGAGCAAACTGATGAACAATGGGAGAACAGTGCTACAGCACACATCATGCATGTGCAAGGCTCTGATTCAATTCCCAGCACCACATACCACACATGCAATTCTCTTAGTGTGGATTGTTTTTAATATTTACAAGCTATAGAAACTATAATGCTTCTTAATAGAAGTACCAACTCATCAACAGCCTCAAACCTCAAATAGTGGATTACTAAAAAGAGATTCCTGCTATCGGTGCACCTAAACAGAAAGGGCAAAAAAGGATTCTCAACTCATTTCCACTCAATATTCTTCTTGAGGGGATCAGAGTGACTCCCCTGGCACACCACTGACCTGGGTTCAACCCCCAGCATCCCACATGAGCTCCACCAGGAATGAGCACCATTGGGTGCAGTCCCCAAACAAAACAAAACAAGAGTCCTTTGTGGGTAATTTGTCCCTTAGGTTTTTAACTTACCAGGGGCAGCTGCCAGTCCCAACATTCCCTCAGCTAATGGGGCCGGTCCCTGTCCTAAATTAGCCCCTGCGTGCACTTGGCATGTCAGTACCTTTCTCTGCAGTCTCTTCTTACGCAGCACCCGGGTCTGCCCAGACTGGGCTCCACAAGGCCCCTGAGGACCATCACAGTGGGCTTCCAGCCCTGTCTGGTACACAACAGCAAGGAAACTAATCAGAGGAATAAAAGCCGAGCCCTTCTCTGTCCAGTGCTGAATACATAAGGAGAAATGTTGGCTATTTGGTGGTGGCGGGGGGTTTCGGACTGAGTAGCACAAACAAACTAAACACTTTAGGAGAAGAAAGGAGGGACCTATACTCTCAGTGTCTGCTGGGTGCAGCAGTAGGAAAGCAAGGTGCTCTGGGGCCCAGCACACAAGCATCATCCCAGAAACAGCCTCACTGATGCTGAAATCCCTTAGGATGATGGGAATTCCTTAAGAGACAGGCAGTCAAGGCTAAAGAGCTGAGACAACGGGGAGGGCTTTGCCATGCATGTGGCCAGTGCAAATTCAATCCCCAGCACTGCCAGGAGTAATCCCCGAGTGCAAAGCCAGGAGGACGCCCTGACATAACTGGAGCATAACAAGGTGTGGCCCAAAACCGAAAGAGAAGACCGTGGGCAGTGAACACACACATCCTCTTCGACACACAGAACTCGGCTGGTCACTGCCTAACACGGCTACAGGGGCTCTTCTCTTTGGCCCTGCTCCACAAGGTTTCAGTGACTGGTGGTCAACTGAGGTCTGAACACAGATAAGAAGATTATG